TGTTCAAGGAGTATGCTGAGATTTTGGCGGAACCAGTTGCTAATATTTTGAATTCATCTTTTAAGGACCAAAGTCTTCCAAGGGTTTGGAAATTGGCTGACGTATGCCCGCTTCCCAAAGTCAAACGTGTCACGAACCCCCAATCGGAACTTAGACCAATTTCCTTAACCTGTTCTCTATCAAAAGTGGCCGAGGAATTCATTGTAGCTGATTACATTAAACCTGCTGTGACCAAAATAATCGATCCCAATCAATTTGGAACAATCCCAGGTTCTTCAACGGTTATGGCCTTAATTAGCATGGTCCACAAGTGGCTAAAAGAGTCTAACGGCACTGGCTCAACAATTAGAGTTTTGTTATTCGATTATCGGAAAGCTTTCGATTTGATAGACCACTCTACCCTTATTGAGAAACTTCGTCAATTGGACATTCCCAACAGCGTCATCAATTGGATCATGAGTTTTCTATCGGGTCGATCTCAGAGGGTTAAACTGGAACGGGACTGTTTCTCAGAATGGGGAGCCGTACCTGCAGGAGTTCCTCAAGGTACGAAGTTGGGCCCCTGGCTGTTTCTGATAATGATTAACGATCTTTCAATTTCTGGAGACCCCTTTGATATGTGGAAATACGTTGACGACACGACTGTATCTGAAGTAATAGCCAAAAATAAAGATTTAAGTGACGCACAATCGGCTGTCGATCAGGTATCTGAATGGTCAAAAAGGAACATGCTTCAACTTAACTGCAGGAAATGTAAAGAGCTACCTATTACCTTCAGTCGGTCTCGGAATTTGCCATCTCCAGTCAATGTTGAGGGGTCCACCATTATCCCAGTGAGCAAGGTAAAGCTACTCGGCGTAACAATTAACAGCACCCTTACGTGGAATGATCATATCGAGGAAATAGTAAAGAAAGCATCTCGCAAGCAGTATTTTCTTGTGCAGCTTAAGAGAGCGAAAGTCCCAGCAAGAGAAATAGTCGCCTATTACTGTGCATGTATCCGTTCTGCAATCGATTACGCATGCCCTGTATTCCACTACTCACTTCCAAAATATCTCCAAGAAGATCTGGAAAGGATTCAGAAAAGAGCACTAGCCTGCATTTACCCAGGAAGGCGTTACGAAGACGCCCTATCGCTCGCTGGCCTAGCATCTATACATGATCACCACGAATCTTTATCTAAATCACTCTTTAGGTCAATTGTAAGTGACTCTAAAAACAAACTGCATGCTCTACTACCGCAGAGAAATAACAATGCCAAATATTATTTTAGGAAACGTAGAACTTTTAATATTCCAACTGCAAAGACCAAACGCTATGCTCAGTCATTCATAATGCATAGTAGTAAGCTTTATGATGACATATAGTGAAATGGTGATTTCAATACTTGTATATAGTTAGTAGTTTAACTGTACATAATCGTAAATTAAGATAAATTTTAGTATTCTTATGTATTATTATATCTATATTGAACGACTTTTATATAATTGTAAAGTTACGCAATTCAGTAGTACCTGCAATGTAACTATCATTTAATAAAACTATCTTATCTTATCTGAATTGATAAATAAAATAATTTATGTATCTGCCTATTCTCTAATTATATGTATCTCCCTTATTTATGTTCAAATAAAATTGCTCTTGACATATATTGATTTAAAATATAGTAAATCGAGATTGTCTTGTATATTAGGTAAGAGCCTACAATGCCATGGGCTCACAACATGTTCTCGTTGTCTCATCCCTGCCAGGGGCGAGCCTGCTTTTACTCTGTTTAACATCAGACAATTTTACTCTTCAATGGGAGAGTGCAGACAATGGGTTGATCTAAGGCAGCGTTTACACTGTACCGTTTTCGTAGCGTTCTCGTATTGTTCTTAATCCTCAAGGGAACGCAAGACAATAGTCTAGTTCTCTCGAACAATACGAGAACGCTACGAAAACGGTACAGTGTAAACGCTGCCTTAAGCTTACCAAATGTGTTCATTGTTGTAAACTTGTCACAGCTTACAGTTAATATATAGATCGTTTTCATCTGACGTCACTGCGGCGATATTGGTGTACCAAAACAATGAAATGGCGGCCATATTGTTGCACGGTATGGGAATTAGCTCTTTCTTATTCAAATATTTCGTATTGTTTCACCACCTCACTGGGGTCACCGATCACGTGAGTGAAAGCGATTTATAGCCACCATTCAAATGCTTTTAGGAATTCAATATTGGGAAGGGTGGTTGTTGTGTAATGTAACAATAGCAAAACACTAGCTATCACTGATTTTACCCATGTAAATAGTTTGCAGGGCCGTAGGAAGATTGATAATTGGGGGGGGGGGCTCATATTCATATTTTCGTGTTCCGCATTATTCACTTCTTCTGAAATCGATTGTTTTTACGGTCTGTAAACATGAATAAATGAATGAGCCCCCCGGCCCCAATTATACATCTTTCTACGGCCCTGTTTTGCCTGTAAACTTTGGCAAGCAAGATGGAATGTAATGCCCCCATTGGTTAATTAACAAATCCAAGGCAAAGGTTATTAAGACATGTCTTTATATCCTGTTGCACCATACAAATCGTCACTTGGAAAACTATTACATTCTTATTAAATTCCAGTTGTCCTTTCCTTTATGTCTAGCAAACTCACACCCTTACAAACAGGGCCATTGATTTTATAGGAAAGCTTTTGCTAAAATTTACACTCAAGTTTGAAAACTTTGTCTTTGTCCAAGGGATAAATTATACAGTATATTCCACAATAAGAAGGCTCTTTGTTTTAAAGAGTTTTATTAATGATTTTCCTTCCATACAAGCGTACTAAAACAAGGAAAGAGGTGCTTATATATTTAGTACCGCAGGCACAGTCACAGATGTCAACATTTGAATTTACATTTTAATATCTTGACAATTTTCGCTTGTTCCTTTTCGTGTTATAATTTCGACTAAATTCTTATTATGATATAAAATGTCGTCAACAATTTGAGTAGAAACTTGTATATATTATCAACGATAAACTTTCAATCGACCACAACGTGAATTCGCTGCTCTAAAAAGTCACTCGATCGTTCTCTCTGAACAATCCCAGTATATCTCTACCTCGGCTCACGATAACGTTCTTGCAACTCCTTAGTCAAAGTTCCCTGTGTATATACAATGTTAAAAAGTAGGATTATTCGTTAATTTCACAGTTTTACTCGTCTTTTAAGCCATCGTGTTGAAAACGAAAATTTCTTCACTCCTTGCCGTAAGCTCTTCCTACTCCCCCTAAGTTAGAGTTTGTCAAAATTTGCATGCGCGAATCGGTATGGGCAGGGCAAATTTTTGTGTCGATTTCTGGCAGGCATCTCAACAAACTTTTTCCGAGGCTAGGTATAAAGTTTAAATTTTATTTCAGTAATTTTATAAATTGAAGTTAGCGACCCTGCTCCAATGGGGTCGTATACTTTAACAACAATTGTTATGTAGCTAGCGTGAACACCAAACGTGATTGGCTGATTTGTGGTCACGTGACTTCAGATAAATGCAATGTTTCCCGCTGGGCAACAACTGTAAAATTGTTGCCCGCCCCGACCGGCCACGTACATAAATAAACAAAATGGAGGCAAAACTCGGATAATTAGAAACTACGATTTTCCAAGTTTGTGTTCAAATAAAGAATATAAAAGAGAAGAAAAATACACAACAGGCAACAGGATATGCTGCTGAAACCGTTTAAGTAGGTTCTTTTAATTTTAAACTCGTTTACACTATAGAG